GACAGAGATTAACTATTAAGATGAACTGTTGGGACACGTAAAGAGCCAGGAACCAGAAAAATATTAGAATGGACTCCTCTAAAAAAATAAAAGGAGAACCTCCTCGAAGAAATTGGGTTGAAGATATCGATGAAGCAATGACAGCAAAGAACCTAGCAGACTTATTACAGGAGGACGGCGTGAGCCGTAGAACATCCGTTATATATATATATATATATATATATATATATATATATATATATATATATATATATATATATATCGAAACAAATATAAGGGTGAAGTTTCAAGAAGAAATAACAGAGAGGTTTAATACAAACTAAGAAGTAAATAAGGGGATCTCTATCTACCCCAAACTATTTAACCTAGTACTTGTGCAAATATTAAGGAAAACAAATGTGAACAAGAAGAATATATTTATAAATAACAGATGTAATTTGATAGGCAGATGATATATTAGTCACAGAAAAAACAACTAGAGTGACCAATACGTGAATTACAGGCGAAAACCAAAAAATATGGATTAAGATTAAACGAAAAGGAGACAACAACGGAAAAATAAAGAGGAGTACCTAAAGAGCCGCAGTTAACAATGAAAAATTAACGACATTCACCTACTCGGGAAGGAGCAAAGGAACAACTGAAAAAGTAAGAACTGTAAAGGGAATCAAGTTTTTGTAAGAAACGAGTTGCTTTAACAGAAAAGTAAGCCGAAAGGAAAAAAATGAAAGTATAAACAAAAAACAAGAAGTAAACTTAGGAAGACATCAAAGGAAAATAATAAGAACAATTTAAGTAATTGATATCACCTCAAACGAAGTGGTGGCCGTAGCTCAGCGGCCAAGATAGTGGCTTTCTAAGCCAGACCGCTCAAGTTCGATTCTCGGCAACAACGACGAAATTTTCATTTCTAAAAATGATGAGCCGTCACCGTGCTTCGTAGGATACGTAAAGCCGATGGTCCCGATGTGCTAGGAGGTACCGCTACTAGTTATCTGAAAAAGAAAATAAAAGAAAAGACACAGAAAAAGAGTTTGGAAACGAAATTATCGTGAAAGTAATTATATAATAACTCTTGGAATGGATAAGACACATTATCAGAATACCGGCAAAATAGATAATAAAAAAAATTGGACAAGATGAACCGCAATCCATCGAAGAAGCCAAGGGACAGAAAGAACAAGATGGTGGGATGTCACAGAAAACGACATACAAACCAAGAAAATAAAAGAATGGAAAGAGAAATGCAAAAGTAATAGAGATCATAGAGCCAAGTATAAAATGAACACAGTGCCAGAATGGAAACCAAATATACTGTTAAAACTACATCTAAATCCTTTTTAAGATCCTTTTTTCCTTTGAAGTAAGCATTTTTAGAAAAATACAACAGAAAGTAGGTACATTGAAGCAGGAGAACTGTAGAAGGTAACCATTATAAGCTAAATATATCCATTTTGAATGCTAAGTTTATACATTCAAGCAGTTTATTGCAAAATACTAAACTACAAAGTCGCTAAGATTGCAATTTAGCCCCAATTAAGTTAATGTTTATCTTCAGAATCTTATGAATAATTTACAAAATATATTTTTAAAACAAAATATGAAATTGTAATTCCGAAAATAAGAGTTTAAGTTGGAGTTCACAATAAGAGCTTAGTTGCAGTTGTAGATTTTATTTGTTAACAGTTACAACTTATATTGAGTGAACGAACTAACTCCACAATAGGAGCTTAAGTGCTTTAAACATCTACAGGTGAAAAACGAAAGTACATAATTTTATCATCGATAAAAATGCTTTAATTCCCTTATAAATCAGCAAAGTTCATAATTCTTATAAGGCGACAATCAAAACCGAGTTAAAATTGCACTGAAAAAAGCAACATTTTTTCGGAGAATAATAAGAATGAAGAGTGTATACCAACAATATTTACTTTAGCACTGACTTTGCCAACAGTCTTTAAGAAACTAGTAGGGAAAGGTCTATTTTAATGTAAAAACAACTAAGAACAACTGAATAAGAAACAAACAAAAGTAAGTTATCATCATGATCAAATGTCATCAAAACAATAATACGTATGAATTACGTAAATATCTCGTATAAGGCTGTAAATATTAAACAGCAAAGATATAAAAGCTTCGATTTTTGACCAATGCTACGCCACCCTCTGATCATGCGTTTCCCTATGTTTTTTATTGTCAACATGTCTCGAAAATGCATATACTATAGAATTAATTTTAATGTCTGTCTAGCACAGTGGGAACTAGAAAACTAAGTGGAGGAATGAAATCAACTAAAATACAGCAAATAAGAAATGACTGTACTAACATCAAAGTTTACTAAACTGAAATATTAATACGAAATGGGACTGTTTCAATAACATTAACATTCGGATCTGTATGGCTAAAATAACGATTAACAAACTTAGGAAAGTACAACTATATATGCCTTTGCACTTAGATTACAGGTCAGTAAATACCATGTTAGAGTGCGCGCAAGCACTCTTGACCACGGCGCAGTAGATGAAATTTGGTTTAGTCACCACTTCCGTGTGAAACGCATTGTACTATGCACTATATAATTCCACTTACAATAGAACCTTTAGGCCTTTACGTGAATTTGACTCCGCCTTTGCGCAGCTCCATGGTCAAGAGTGCTTGAGCGTACTATACCAGTGTGAGCCACTTCAGAATAATTCCACTGACCACTGCCCTTACCAGACGACTGTCATTACCCAACACAGTGGTCATCTACTTACAAGCAGATGACCACTGTCCTTACCCAACAGTCCATCTTAGCCTTAACCACTATTTCCCCTAGAACCCATCTCACCCACATCCCGAGTGCTGTAAGAGTGCTTTTGACCATGTTTGAATGGAAGGGGTGTGATTTGCGCAAGGGGTGTGAGTGACATACGACCCTACACACAAACTGCGTAACATGGGCCTCTCTACAATCATACACTACTAAATTATTCCCCCACACGGCAATCCATTTTACCAGAGTGGTGAGTCATTCAAGATATTCGAATACGTAATCTCCCACTTAATAACCAACCGCTTGGGGCGGATGCGTTTGTAAGTGGTAGGGCACCTTTTTGCCATGGGGTTACGAAATCGGCCCCGAAGGTGGATGAACCAAAAATTTGGTGAATGGTATAAGAATTCAGACGGCAATGGGAAACCACTGCATAAAGAATCATAAGTACCCCCAGGAAAATCATCATGGAATTGACATTTGAACTGCAAGACGTTACTAATCATGGAAAGCGGAGGCCAAGATTCGACAGGAGAGGATACACATATTTATACCTCGAGCATCTCAGGTCATAAACATGCGAAAACCTCATGAAGAAATCCAACAAATACGAAACTCTAATTTAAGGATTTGCATCTGGAATGTCAAAAGCCTATTTGCGACTGGAAAACTTGACAACCCAATTCAGGAAATAAAAATAGATCTATTGGGTATCAGCGAATTAAGATGGCCAGTGTCAGGAACTTGTAAAAAGCATGGTAGTGGATTATATTATTCCGGTAACAGTACAGAAGACCTGCATCGCAAAAATGGGGTAGGTATTAAAAAATTTACAAAGAATTAAAAGAGAGTTACAAAATGAACCAAAGAAAAATAGATGAGAAAAAGGTGCGACGAATACAGAATTCTACCAAAATTGTACTCACGGCCCAGAAATTATGAAATCAAAGGTAGAACAAAGAATGAATAATTTCTATGTTTGATCTGTATGAAGCAGAAGTGTAATCCCTAAAAGTATCAAGCATAAACCGGCATGAAGCAATAGAAATGTCAATTCATAGACAGATGTTGAAGATAACTTGAACGTAAGAAAATTAACAAGAAAAACTAACAAAGAGGTTCTAAGGAGGGTTAACACAGATAAAGAATTACTGAAGACGGTTGAACACCGGAAAATGGTCGAATATATTGAGGGCAAATAGATACAGAATGATACAACTAGTTCTTAAAGGCAAAATAGAAGGTCGGAGAGGTGTAGAACGAAAACCGGTTTCTTGGTTAAAAACCATTCGTGAATGGACTCGGATACCAAATGCAGGACAATTATTCCATGTTGCAGAAGATCGAGAAGCCCGCTGTGACGCACAAACCAAGTCCATAAAAGTAGAAAACACTAAATCGCAGTTAACCATTCGTGATTTAAAGGCTCTGCTGATTACTTAAAACTTCATGGATGAAGTATGTTATCAACGAAGAGATGTTGGAAATAGCAGTCAACAACAAAAAGTGTCATATTTAGGCCACTTCTTGGGAGATTTACTATATTCCATATCAAAGATCATACCGCAAGGTATAATATAGGGTTAGCGAGGAGGATCTAGAAGAAAACAGTATTCTAGTAGCAATATTCGATATTGGTGTAAAATTTACAACGCAGCCCCATATTTCGACGAGAGAAAAATAACATCCTCATGTTGATAATTCAACGATGCAGAGGATCGGTGTACTACAGAAAGAATATTTATTTGATGTTGGAGAACAGTTGGCAAACAGTTGCAATAATAAATAAAATATTCACTTTAAATTATATACTTTGAATTTTTTTTTCTAAGAGACTATGACTATACCGATCAATATCTCATCTATTATAACATACGAAGAAAATTTAAAAATTCTGCAAAATATTAATCCAAACGGAATTTTTTAGTTTGATTTTATTAAATGTAATTGAAATACCTCACTTTATCGACAATATCTGCAACCTGGCAAATAAAACTATGTGTAAATATATTTCCGTTCTCTTTTACTGATGCTTGAACAGCTGCGAAGATTTCTTATCATAGAAAATAAACAAGTCTGTAATTGTCCATGCCTTGTAAAAAACTATTACAAAGTTAACTATCCACAATGCTTAAAACACTCTTATTTTCAGGAATACAACTTTTTTGATCATAAATTAAATCAGAACAAAATAAATAGTGCCTAGAAATAACAGAATAAAAATCTTTTTACGTATGTAACATTATTAATTTTCTTTTATATTACTAAGAAGTTGGCTTTGGGAGGTTTTCATATTCTGCAGACTTTGCAAATATTTTTCATATTGGTGCGCAGAGCCCTGGCTCATATTTAACCAATTCTGTCTATTTTGCATTTCGAAATGTTTTAATAGCATTGCGTGTTGGATAGCTGCCAACTGATTGCTGGGATTCATGTTGAAATTGGCTGGTTTAAAATTTAAACTAGCAGTGAGTTGAGCCAAATTCTGGATATTGTACTTTTCCAATATCTGATTAGGGCTAAGAGGGGAACTTTGACTACTAGAACTAGAACTAGGTTTTGGACTAATTTTTGAAGGAACTGTAACCTGAGATGTGCTGATTGTAAGACTGGAAGTAACAGGAGGTGCTTTCGGTGACACGCTTGAACTGTTAGGACTTTGAGAACTCGTTGAAGAACTAGGCAAATTAGGAGATACATTTTTACTGTAAGTACTCGGTGAGGGTAATTTTGGTGAATAAGTATTCACTCTCAGTTGGTCCATCATTAAACTCGGTAGGGGTGCGTACATATGTTTAACCATGGGAGACGATTTTGGTGAATGTTTAGGAGAGTTTCTGGGTGAACTAAAACCTAAACATGGCGAAAGATTTCTAGGAATAGCAGTCGGTTTAGGGGATAGTTCCGGCGGGGAAGGATAAGAAGTAGGTTTAAAGTCGACTATTGCAGATTTAATGGGAATATCTACATCTTTTTTTGATGTAATACCATTCGTTTTGGGGCCTACATTAGATCCTACTGAAATAGTGTAATTAAGTCCCAAAGCGTTCGAATGCATATTAGTTAATGTTTGCTGCGGCAGCTTATTATTAGGCAATCGGGGAATAGCTACTTTGGGTAATGGTTTAGGAGTCGTAGAATCTATTTGATTCTTTTCGTGTTCCAGCTTGATCTTTTTGTGCAACTGTGAGGCGATGTCCGAAACGTTTCGCTTGCTGCTAGAAGTGCTAGACACTTCGTTAGTTGAGTCTATTAAAGATTTTTGCACAGCTTTTTCAGGAATCGCACTTGTAGTATCAGGTTTTTTAATGGATTCTTCGAATATCTTCTGGAATGACTGGGGGGATCTTGGATTAAGTTTATTATCTTTTGGCACATTAAGAAGCTTGTTCGTAATTTCAGGTACGGAAGATGGCTGAATATTGTATTTAAGCGGTACGTTAGTTTTAATGGGAATCGGAAAATCTGGTTTAGGTCCGATTATTTGGGAGATGGTGGTGGACATAGGAATTTTTTCGGTAAGACTTTTTGCTATCTCTGCTAAATCTTCGTCTACCTTTTGTTCACTATCGTCATTCAAACAGAAGCTAAAACTGAGTTTACTGCTCTTGTTACCATCTTTATCAGAATTTGATGATTTATTTTCATCGGGTAATTTTAAAATTTCAATATAATTATTTACAGGAGGAAGCAGAGTGGTAGGTTTGCTATTTTCAGTGCTGTCTTTTAATGTTATTGATAATGAGGAGGGTATTTTACAATTTTCTATTAACGACTGAAGACCTGGCGTTGATAATTTCTCGGATGGTTTGGAGATTGCGGGTGGTTTCGAAATTGGTGATGGTTTTGGTTTAGTTTGTAGTATAATCCGTGTGACAGGCTTCTTTTCTAATTTAGTTTTTTTAGGAGATTCTTTTTTTATAGGACTAATTGTTTTCCGTTTTGGAGATTCTTCTTTAATAGTATTCCTTGCCTCAGTTTCAGGAGAATTCGTAGCAATGAGCTGTATGGCTTCAAAAAATTTAGCTTTATCATCATGTTTATTACTAGAATGTTCTGGTTGTACTTCTTTTATACTTTGTTTCGCCTCCACCATAACAGATTCGTTTTTTTCACAAATCTTTTTTGACAAAATTTCCGATTCGCTGCTTTGGGCATTAGCTGCTTTAGTTTTTGTTTTGATAGGTGACCTCTCACCTTCCGATTTTCTCTTTTGCTTTGGTTCATTCGGTTTAATAGTTTGTTTTATTATATTAAAGCCAACTGATTGACCTTCTTTGTTTGTCACTTTTTGAACTTGTGTGATAATTTCGACATTGTTTGTCCGATTAAGCGTAATGTTCGTATACACAGAATTTTTGATATCTTTTTGTTGGTTTTGAACGTTATTTTTTAAATGCCCGGAGACTTCTGCAGGTTTCACTATATTACTTGTTGAATGATTTTTACTATCTTTAAAGTCTGCTGGGCTGGTAACACTTAGTTTGAACGTAGCACAATTATCCTCAGTCTTTAAAGTGTTAGCTTTTTCGGGATCCTTCTTTATTTTTAAAATAAATCGTTTCGGATTTTCTTCTGTAGTATCCGTGCGATGTTCACTTTCTTTCTCTACTTCCTTTACTTCAACTTTTACATTTTCTTTATCATTATTCAGTTTTTGTTCATCGGTTTTTTGTTCACTAATAATATCACATTCCACAGGTTTAGCACACGTTCCAGAGTTATCACTACCCGTTTTATTATCTTTCAAAGTTTTTGAGATTTTTTCACATTTTTCACTTTTCAGTTTATCACAACCATTTACTTGGGCTTGTTTGTTGGTTTTGGAATTTTTCTTGTTCATGATGTGCACCTTCCTTCTAGCAGCCGCTGCACCGTTGTTTCTCGATGCTTTTACAGGAGCTTTGACTAATAATTCGGTCGCATTTTTCGAATCAAAGTAATCAAATCTTTCAGATACTTTGTTCAACTCGGTAATACGGAAAAAGAACTTCATCGGTTCATTCTGAAACAAAAGAAAATTTAATTTAAAATAAATTTAAAATAAACAAAAGAAAATAATAAATAAAGTTAAAACGTAGTATTACGCTAATAAGTTATTAAACAAATAGGACTAAGCACAATAAATTTGGTCAGAGTGTCTATCACTTATTTGGATTTTACTTGTTTCTGGTTATACGAGATCTGGCTATAAAATAACAAGACTGCTTAAAAAAAGAATTTTATTTTAAAAATTATTCTACAATCAAATGCTCTCCTTTAATATATTCCCCTTCCCTTGCCACACACCGTTTCATTCGTTTTTTCCATTGGTCAAAGCAATGCTGGAAGTCTTCTTTTGTTAGAGCTTTTAGGAGCTCCGCCGTTTTTCGCTTTACCTCTCCATCGACTCAAACCGGATTCCTTTTAAGGCAAACTTGATCTTCGGAAACAGGAAAAAGTCACAGGATGCTAAATCAGGCGAGAACGGCGGGTGTTCGAGCACTTGAATGCCTCTAGCGGCTAAATAACGCTTCACAGACAGCGCGTTATGAGAGGTACGCTGTCCTGGTGCAAGATCTACGGCTGGTTTTTCCACAACTCCGGCCGTTTCTTACGAATTCGCTCTCGCAGCTTTGCCAAAACTTTCAAATAGTAAGTTTGGTTTACAGTTTGACCCTCTGAAACCCATTCAGTCATCACGATGCCGTTAATGTCGAAAAAAAAAACGATTAGCATGGCTTTAAATTTTGACTTCGTCATCCTTGCTTTTTTCATTTTTGGCGATGTATGAGTTTTCCAGTGCATGGATTGTCGCTTAGTTTCAACATCGTATTTGAATATCCAGGTTTCATCGCAAGTGATGATGTTTTCCATTAATTCAGGCTCTTCATGTAACCTCTCAAGAAAATCTGATCAATTCTGTTGACGGACGAGCTTTTGGTCAGAGATCAAATTTTTGGGACCAACTTCGCACAGATTTTCTTCATGTTCAATTCGTCATGTAAAATTTTTCTGACAGTTTCTTAATCGGCGTTTAAGTCTTAGCAATCATCCGAATGATCATACGACGATCTCTGCCCACAATCTTCAGCGCGTTCTCGACCTTCAGAAAACCGTTTATACCATTTGAAAACAGGCACACGAGATAGAGAATTCTCACCATAGGCCTCTTTCAACAAATTATAGCACTCAGTCGGAGTTTTTTTTAATTTAACGAGAAATTTCACATCCATCTGTTGCTCATATGTCGTCACACATTGTTATCAGGACGAGAAAAAAACACGTTCTTTTCTAACCTCGACAGAAAAAGTACTACTACAGCGACAAAAACGTGTTTTTGACACTACCAGCTATCCAATAAGCACAGAAATAACAAAAACCATAAAAATTCGGAAGTTACACTATTTCTATTTCGGTGTTGTAATGAGACATCCGGAGAGGTATAACCTACACCTCATAATACAGGGTAAGATCGACGGAAGGAGAGGCCCAGGCCGACGAAGAACATCCTGGCTACGAAATCTCCGAGAATGGTATCAAGAAACCACCGCTAATTTATTTAGAGCCGCTGTGAATAAGGTTATTATTGCCAATATGATCGCCAACGTTCGATAATCGGACAGGGCACTGAAAGAAGAAGAGCTATCCAATAGTTGAATAGTGCATTCGTTTTCCACTCTTCCCCTCTAGGACGCCTTCTGTGCGCAGTCTCGTTATTTAATAGTATCTCGCATTATATATTTTGTCAATGTTCAATTATCAATTAAATGCAATTTCGTCGTCTATAAAACTAGTTTTATGTTGAGTAATTTTGTTTATATTAAAAACAAGATTTAAGGAAAATTTCAAAGTTCAAGGAAGTTTTATTTAGAAGGCTGTTTTTAACAAGAACCTGTGCTACGCCTTAGTTTATTAAAATATTTATTGTTTTATCAGTGCAGCATTGAAAATCTTCTTCTAGTAATGCATTTTGCTAGTACCTCTATTTCTAAATTTAAGATTCATTTAATCTAAAACATATATAAACATTATTTAACTTACTCTCTTCCATGAATAGATATAAGCTATATCTATTAAGGTATAATGATCTGGCAAAGGCACCCGCTTGTACAGGATATCAATCTGCAACAAAATAAAATTGTTAATAAACTGACACATTAAAACATATAAACATAATAAAAATATAAAGAATTCCCCAACAAAAGTACTGTACAGTTATGCATTATTTTGTGCCATAACATTCTTATACATAAGGTTGCATGTCGATTCCCGCATAAGCAAAAAACCGAAAAGTATTAAATTGCCAAACAAAGTTGTTTTGTTGAGCGTTTTTTTCAGCGATACGGGTAGCTTTATGGACGACGTGGTTTGTTTGACGAAAAAATTATAACAAAAAATAAACTGAAAAACGTAGAAACATTCAACACTAATTAACAAAAAACAGCCAGAATATTGTTTGCTATAGTACAAAGAAAAAGTTTTCAGTTTCACTAGGATATTCCTCCAATATTTATTTGTTTATAGTACATAGTACTTTCCATCTCAGCACTATCCATACTTAAGCTTTCGTTTAGATGTTGTAGATCTCCTATACGCAATTACCACAGTTGTCATCTGCATATCGTAAATAGTTAATTAATTTTCCGTTAACAGTAACCCTCAATTTGATATTATTGTGCATGTTTAAAATTTGAAATTTGAAAATTTGTTCAGAATAAGTGTTAACTAAAAGTGGCGATAAAATGCATTCCTGTCTAACTCCCCTACATATCTTCATTTCTTCTAATTGTTGCCCATCAATTTGAACTACGGCATTTGAGTTCCAATATAATATTTGGATTATCTGTATAATTTTACTGCCAATGTGCTTATTCATTCATGCATCTACTTTTGTAGATATTTTCCTTTATATTTCTTTCTTTCTTACATCTGTAGTATCCATCCTGTATTTCTTCTCTCATAGATTGTTTTTTAGTCTCTGACCTTTGTTGTGTCAAATTTTTTTGAGCTGGTTTCAATAATATGTTTTTTATATCATTCCACCTTTTATTTACATCCATAATTTGTTTGTTATCAGTTAATGTTTTTTGCTTACAAACATTCACATTATTTTTTAATTCGCTTTTTATTTCTTCGTTTTTTAGCATTCAAAATTTTCTTTTCACGACAGCAACTAACGGACTGTGGTCTGAGTGAGCATCTGCTGTTTACGAGTAAAATCTATTTTTTTAAACAAATTGTAAGCATCAACTCTTTGGACTCGACATTTTTTTTTGTCTTTTGGACCATTATGAACAAAAATGTTCTCTTGCAATTTTTATTGAAATATATACTGAAAATATTGAATTACTGAAAATTATACTAAAAAAAAAAAACAAAAAATGATGGTTTTAAGGCCTAAAAACATAAGTAAAAACTACTATTTTTTAAATTGCCAAATCCTTAAACTCATATTCAAAGACATCCAAAGCTTCTTCTATCAGCTCCCGATGAGCATTTTGGGCTTTTTGTTTTAATTGTTAATAAAGCCCTTATCACAGGGCGGGGGGCACTGAGTCTATCGCACGTCTGGACAAAGTGAACCGAAAATCTGGAAAAGGCTTTTTTTTGAACCTATTCTCTATCCTTCCAATGTTGGATATAGGTCTCCCCCAGTTCTCTCCATCTTTCCCTATCTTGAGCTGTCCTCTGCCATGTGGGACCTCATTGTTTCCTGATGTCTTATGGTGGAAACGGCTTATCATATCTTAAATGGATGGTTCAAATTATAAAAAACAGAGATACACCTATTTTGCAAAACGAAGATTTGAAATTTGATGTATGTAACATTGCTAGATTTACCATTTTTCTGATATTAATCACTTTGGTTTTTTTTTTAATACAACACTCTGTATATCATACCTTTATTGAAATCTCCATTTAAATACCAGTTCAACCGTATACAATACTTTCAATTTGATGTAGTCAGGGACATCTTAAAAAGATAAAACAAATGCCTAGAAACGCCTAATCGTCTCTAGAATGTTTTTGATTCAAACTACGTACCACTAAATTTGAACATAATAATTAGTAGATTGCTAAATAGCTAAATTATTGCTTAATTATGTAATCAAGTGCTCAAAATGCCCCCGTTGTTAATTTGACAGTACTCTAAAGATGGTAGAATGAGTATTACATTTCTCCATGTTTGTCTAGAAATTAATATGAATTCATCGATAATTCTTTATCTGGTTTAGTTTTATAAATTCTACTTTTCAAATATCTCCAATAAAAATAATCGTTAGGATGCAAATCGGGTGAATGAGGAGACAATTCAATACTACATAATCTACCACTCTATCGTCCGGGATATGTCTGATCTTAATAACGCCAAACATTTACACCAAAATTAGCTGGAGCTCCATCTTGTTGAAACCGTATTTCATTAATAAAATTGGCTCCAAACTTGTTTTTCATGGCAGGTACAATTTCACTTCTAAGTAGCATTTTAACTGCTGTACTATACAGCCAACTCACCGAAACTTTTCCTTTAAGTTTAAAATTTCATAATGATTGATTTTAAATTTCCTTCTATAAAAACGCGGCCCAATTAACTGATACGATCAACTACACCCGACCATAGCGTTTGTGATCTTTTCACTAAAAACTATCTTTATTATAGAGTTTTTAAAGGAGATTGTAGAATTGTAGAACTTTTCAATAAACGTCTAGCTCTTATTAGTTTTATGAATAAATGTAAAAATCACAGCTTTCTATATTTACTGGATTACTAAAACTATTTGGCACTGAGAAGTTTTATTTGTTTAAGACTTTCGAGACTATATCAAATACCTAAATACAATACCAAGTGTTACATGGGGTTGAACTTGCATTGAAGTGAGGATTCTAATAATAATACAACATACAGGATGTTGTATTTAAAAAAAATCAAAATGACTACTGATATCAGAGAATTGGTAAACCTGGCAACATTGCATGCATCAAATTTAAAATCTCTTTATTGCAAAATATGCATATCTCGGTTATTGTACGATACAGATCATCCGTTTAAGACATAATTAGGTGTTTCCAGCCTCTTGGTCCACTCTGTACACACATTTATATGTCGTATTAAGGAATTGCAACTTAAAACTCATCGAATCAGAAATTTTTGTGACATAACGAAATCAATCACATATGATGATCTTGATTAATCTCTAGTATATAATATTATATCGTGTTACTCAATTGTATATTAATGATCCTTATTCTAGGGTGTCCAACGAAAGTGGTTATGCAAAAATGTCTCATGGGAATATTTTTTCGAACGAACCCGGCTTTTGGCCTTGTCTACATTACCGATAATAGATGTTTGTAGGCATTAGTCTATTAAAAACGTATAATGAAGAACCAAAAACAAAAGGATGAATTTTAAATCAAAGTGAGCCAAATATGTTATTGAGAACAGAAGATTCTCACGAAAATATATTGTTATATACCCATTACTTAAAATCTAAAAATATTATACAAAATCACTTACGTAAAACTGACTGGTATCGACATTGTACTTATTTCTGACAAATTTCTTAAGTACATCGACTCTACACATTCCTGGACACTGAAGATATCTTTTCATAAGAGTCTGACTATCCTCCAATGACAACTGATCTGCTTTGTCGAGTCCATTTCGCGTAACGGGTAGCTTGATTGCTCCGGGAGCGGAGTCAGCGCTGTAACAAAAAAAAATACATTACAACCAGGAAAACCAATGAACATATTTATTATATCCGTTATATAAACCAAAGACGATACCATCAACAGGGCAAAGAGGAAAAAATAAGTCATTATTCAATCTCATCGTAAACACAGTTTTTGAATTTATATTAATTTATATTTAAAAAACTTGGGCTCAACCGGGATTTGAACCCGGGACCTCTCGCACCCAAAGCGAGAATCATACCCCTAGACCATTGAGCCGCGATACTTATTACATTTTTATGTTTTATACGATGACCTCGATTGTTTAAAATCTAATTAAAAATCAATATGAAATCTTATACACACGAAAAAAACTTTCTCTTGTTTTAATTATGCATAAGCTTACGATTCAATGAAATCATCTTGTTAGTATGGCGGCTCAATGGTCTAGGGGTATGATTCTCGCTTTGGGTGCGAGAGGTCCCGGGTTCAAATCCCGGTTGAGCCCAACTTTTTGCACTTACTAAATATTTATAAATATTTTTTCATTATAATAATAAACATATTGGTTATATTAAACTATTATCATCTATAAATAACAGACGAAAAAATACTTATCTTTAAATTTTTTTATTAATACTTAATGTTATCTTAATCGGTTGATAAAGAACGCGTTTTTAAATATAAAAATCTAACGAGTCTCTTTAAGAATTTGTATTTGCCTAGCTTAATTGCATATAATCCACCAATACTAAGAAAAGAAAACATCTTTTATTTTAGTTATCTATAAACATAATAATTCAGGACAACAAAAAGGTACATAAATTAGTAAAAAACTTACTGTGAGAAAGCCATACCTAGATCTGAACATTCATGTCATACAGAACATGTTTTATCTAAATATCCTTTCAGACGAAGCGACTGGTGTCAGCCACCGGTGGTTTGTCATCCGCACAAACGAAACACCTGTGCCTGACATCGATTATAACCACATCAGTTTAAACATGTATCTCAGTAAAATTAGCAGCAACAAATGTATTGTTAATAATTCGACGGCGATGCAGGATGAGGAGACAAATAACGAAAAGGTTGAAAAATATTGTTCAAATTTTGATATAACCCTTTCGCATGTATTTCTTTAGCAATTGTATCACTATATTGTTCGAAGTTATAGTCGCAAAGAACTGGTTTCTCTTCAACAGCAGTTACAAAATCTTCCAAATTGAAATCCACATTAATTTCCATATTTAACATTTAACAAATTATTAAAACAAAACCGAAAACAAAACACCTCGTGTAAATGTTGCGATTCAAAAAACTCTGCTAAAACAAACGGTGTCCGGCTTAGTGGCGAAGGTGAGACACGCACATCAGCGATTGCTCAGCAACTAAAAGTAGCCATACACTTCAAGAAAAGTTGCTCGTCTGAAATCGTTCATTTAAAACAATACTTCACTGCAACTGAACACAAGTGGTGGAAACCGGTGTCCGACACCCAACGCTTCGTCTGAAAGAGCACTAACAATCTCCATTCGGGTCCTTTTGATATCTATCTACAACTTTTGCCAGAAAATAAGACAATGTAGACACACAAAATTAAAATAAACTGTTACAACGGAGTATCAAAGGAGGCGACAGAATTCTTGAAAATTAGTAACATGCAAAGATTTGGTTAGGACTATCTCCATTTCCGAGCCGGTTTGAGACATTGAGCTCTCGGACCTTTCCAGTACTCCACGCAGAACATACTTGTGGGAAAGGACGACACGTTCCATGGCTAGTAGGGAATGTCCTATGGGTGTACAGAACAAGTGTGAATAAGATATAACCAAATAACTAACGGCGGATCAACTGAGAACATGACATCAGCAGTCATGAATTGTGAATTTTTTATTGAAAATGGTACACACTCACACTCAGAATACACATACAAACATACACACCTGCACCATGTCCAAGCATTAAATTACCAGACAGCACACCACACCTAACTGATGCAGTGAGATTTATTCTACGACTACTGCGCTCTTCAATCCCGAGATGTAGATAGTACCATCGTGCACAAGGAGATGCATGGCACATTATATTTGTATAAGATGCATGGTACATTAGACTGTATGTATTGTTATAAAATTAGGAGTTATAGCAGTAGATAAGAATTAGACCTAATCCTATACAAACTAAAATACTAGATTTTTTCTAGAAGCTTGCAGTCTGAAGAAGACGAAAAGATTTTTTGTCAACTCTCTTTTACAAGAGAACTTTTTAGTGTCGGTAGTATGTTGTACATTTTGCGTTACACTTCATACTAAGAACATTGCAATAAACAATGTTTTACCGTTTCACACTTCTCTTTAATTTTGAAATTTTATGATGGTTAATATCAACATCTTAGAGCTTGGTAATGGAGTTCTTTTGTGCATTCTGCTACATTATAATAGTCTTTTCTTTAAGATATACTTTCAGGTCGGTGTGTAGAGATTTCTTATTTTTTTTGCGTTTGGGTCAGTCAGTGCATTTTTTGTTATTTTGTCTACAACCACGTTACCTTGAATTCAAGTGAGTGAAGACATCCTGATAAAATTAACTCCAATATTTTTATTTTGAGCAGACTTTAGTTCTTTTGTAATGAGAAGAAGGAGTGGATGATCACAGGAAAATTGGTTTAATGTCCTTATTGAGCTGAGGGAATTTATAATAATATTTCTCTCTTTATTTTGTTTTTCTTACTATCAGAACTAGTGATTTTAAATGTGAAACATTTGAAATTGCTTATTAAAAGAATAATTATGATCTAGAAGGTGAAGTTCGTAAGTAATCTGTTTTTCTATTATTGAAAGCCCTTTTGGGTTCTGCTATACGTTTGTTAAAGGTTCTACCCGTTTGACCGATGTAAGTTTTTGGGCAGTCGCCACATGTAAGTTTGTATAGCCCACCGTGTAAGTGCTTTTTTTTGCTTGTTGTTCTTAATATATTTGCTTAAGTTGTTTGTTATGAAGCTGGCGTTATTCCTTTCTTTTTTACATATTTGGCTTTGATGATATCTTGTCTGTATATGTAATTGTTTTTTCTCTGTTGTTGGAAAGACTATTTTCATAAACAAAATTTTAAACCAAAAACTGAATAAGCAAGCCCTGAAATTAGTCTTTCCATCAAAAGAGAAAAACCCAGTACCTACTTTCTGCTCGATTACATATACAGGCAAGATATCATCAAAAATAGCCAAACACATAAAATAAGGAATAACGTCAGCTTTCAGAACAAACGACAACTTTTAAGCAAATATATTAAGAGAACAACAAGAGCCAAAAGAAAAAGCAGTTACACAGTAAGGTATACAAACTTACATGTGGTGAATGCCCAAAAACTTGCACCGGTCAAACGGGCAGAACTTGTAACGAAAGAATAGCAGAACACAAGAGAGCATCCAATAATAGGAAAACTGATTCTGCTTACGCACTTTACCTTCTGGATCAGAATCATTCTTTTAATAACCAATTTCAAATTCTTCACACTCAAAATAATGGCATTAAGCTACCATTATTAGAATCTATGGAGATTAACAAATTAAAAAATACAGATAGAATTCCGAATGACCAACTTGAGACAAACAGTTCTCCTTTTCTCAACTTATTCTGTTAAAGACTATAAAAGTCATTTTAAATTATTTTCCTAAAGGTATTACAGTTATTGCAAGTGAGGCAATGTAGGCAATGTGAATTATGCGGTAAGATTGATCTTCTAAACCATATTAAATAACGTAGAACAACAACCAAAAATTCCAGAAGCAATTTGTATTTTTCCCTGTTTTATGAAATAATTATTGTAAATGAAACAACGCAGTAAAACTAAAAATGTTGTTCCAATATCAAAACAATACACTCTTTAAATGATTAATATCAAGGAAATGTTAAGACAATCTATTAACGATGACGAGGGACGATCTTATCGATTTTATGTCCGCTGGTATCAATAGCGAGCCATACAAGTTTCTGTAGGTTAATAAGGTAAAGTTGACAAATAGTCTAATTAAATATGAATAAGTTCTGTTATCATTGAAGTATGAGACGTATATAATATACAAAATTAGTATATTTGTTAATGAAATAACTAAATAAAAACTAAAACCAATAAAATATTTAATAAATAAGAATAACACGAGGGGATTTCTTTAGATCCTACTGTATTTTATAGCTTTGTCTTAAATTATTTCAATTAAATATATCTATAAATTAAGTACACGTCATCGATATAAAATTAATAGAAGAGTTCAAATTATCAATTAATTTGGATTGGGTTGCAATCTCCATTTGCGGAAATAATTCCCTAGGGCATTCAAATCGTTTGTCAGAATGCGTTCAGTGACCTCGAATTCTTTATGACTTGCGGCAAGCGTCCAGTCGTCTGCGTATCAAAACTTTTTTGATGTGGTTTCTGGCATGTCTGCTATGTAGAGACTGAAAAGCATGGGAGCCAGCACGAATCCTTGTGGAAGTCCATTATTCAGTTTTCTTTGGGTACTAGTCTTGTCTCCCAATATAACTTTAAAGCACCTGTTGGATAGCATGGCGTTAATAACCTCAGTGGTTTTTCTGCATGGGATTATTCGCATTAATTTCTATATTGCCCGTCACACAGTGTCATAAGCAGCAGATAGATCGATGAAGACAGCGGTTGTTTTTGATTGCTTTTGAAAGTTTGATTCCACATAATTGGTCAGGGCGAGTACCTGGTCTGTGCAGCTGCGGTTTGGCCGAAATCCTGCCTGTTCCACTGGTAAGTGTTGGAATATGGTGTTGCTGATTCTATTATACAACAGTCTTTCGAACAATTTGTACACCATACTTAAGAGTGCGATGGGGCGGTAGTTTTTCGGTGAATTATTACTTTTCCCTGGTTTTAAAATGGCGACGATTTTTGCATTTTTGAGTTGGTGGGGGACGTTTCCCGTTTGAAGGATGTCAGAAAAGAATTCTGCGACCCATTGCCTAGTGAATCTGCCGCTATGTTTGAGGAACTCAGCGTGAATGGCGTTGAAACCCGGCGCTATTCCTGTTTTCATTTCATTTAAAGCTTGCGATATTTCTTCATGCGTAAATGGGTTGGAATATTCTGTTGACTGTGCAAGACTAGATTTTATGGTTTTGAGGTCTTTTTTAACTTTAATTGTCTGTCAACGATTTTGAGGTGCCCTAGAGGTTGACACTATGTGCGTAGCTATTTGGTCTGGAGTTACTAGGTTGGTTTGGCGAACGGGTGGGTTGCTACTTCCCAGTTTCCGCAGTAGGGACCAAGCTTGTTGACTTGACTTCTGGAAGTCTAGGTTTTCTACTATCTGTGTTCATTTTTCACGCCTGGCAGCATCAATGCTGTGGAGTAGTTCGTCTGCAATCTCCTGCTTTCCATCTTCGCAATATTCTTCATACAGTTTTTCGCTCTATTCTGTCCAACCAGGGATATATTCTTTGCGGTATCCTCTAGGGATTGTCGCTTTTGCTGAGGTGATTATTGCTCCTGTTAGTCTCCCGTAGTTCTGGCTCTTTCGTGGAATCCATAATAGGCATTTGTCAAGGTTACTGGTGAAAGCAGACCAGTTAGCTTTCTTGAAGTTCCATCTGGGGCGTGGGAACGATCTTATAATCGGAATGCTAATACCGATCTTGATTAGGACGGGGCGATGTTGACTATGTGGAAAGTCAGGCATAACCCTTCGTGATGCTGCTAGCGGTTGGCCTTTGTTGTCGATGGTAACAAAACAGAGATCAAGGTTATATTCTCTCCTCCAGGCCGCAGATCTGAAAGTGCCTCTATCTTTGGCGTCGAATAGAAGGTGGGCACCATGTTCCTCTGCCCATTCCACAAGGGATGTGCTATTTCTGTCAGTGTCTGAGTATTTCCACATCTCATGGTGGCTGTTGAAATCCCCTACGTATATGGCTGGATGAACTTCCGCCAGAGACATAAATAGGCTCCGTTCAAGACACCCGCCTCTAAAAACAGCAAAAAGGCTAGTAGATCAAAACTTTAATGTAACTGAACGGTGGAGAGAACAATGGGAGAATAACGCTGCACCAGCTAACTGGAACATGCCATGTATTACAAGCAAACCTGAGGGCTTCAACCAACCAAGACGAATTTGGACCACACTCAATAGAATAAGGACGAACTAAGGCAGATGTTCCGACTCACTTTTTAGATGGGAAAAAATACAATCACCAAATTGCGACTGCGGCGCCGAAAGGCAA